TTTTTATTAGATGATTGGATATAATATTTGTGCTTGATGCATATAATACAGTAGATACAATTTCATAATATTTGGTCTAGAAGAACTGTAAAATCTCTTCCCATAAATCCCATCAGGGATATTTCTCATGGACTATGGCCGAGTCTATAGACAGCCCCCTTGGTTCGGAAACCCACGCTGTCTGATTCATTGGAACCCACGTTGGCAAATTTGTGAGGCCATCACTGTTAACACTATACAAACCAACAGGAATGTATGCTTTCACAAACACATAACTACAGAGAACATTATCAAATGCATACAAGTACAACACGACCAATAATATTTTCCCAGTAATAGCCAAAAGCAATCAAACATATTTTCATCAGAATTGCTACGTTACAACATGTATGACAATGTACGTTTGATGACTAAACAGGTGTTTATGTTACTGCCAATTAATTTATCTTCGTAGTACATCTTAACTCTTAATACTATCTTTTAAAATGTGTTTTTTTTTCACTATTTATGAGCTCCTGGGGAAAATAAACAGGTCTGATTGTGAATATTGGTGAATAATTTAAGATGCACTCTCTCTATTTATGATAATAAGATGAGAAAACTGTGTCATCTTTATGATCAAAAGTTCCCATATTTCTCACTTGCCATTTTAATTGATAGTGTTGCATCTAATAATATAGTATAAAGTACCCCAAATTACTTTTGGGGTATATATATTGTATGATTATGAAATATGCACAAATTAATTAGTAGACATTTTAATTATTTGAAATTTCATCAAATGATGTTTAAAATTCTGATTCAAAATGAATATAAAATGAATGGAAAAATTATTATTTCATGCATAATAATAAATTATACTAATAAATATCTAAATACTATAATACAACATCTATAGTAATAATAAATATTAAATATGTTAATTTAATTTAATTCAATTATTTAAAAATGTACCGTAATAATCAATATGAATATGAAAAGCCCAAACAATAAACCAAAAATTTCACAGTACAAATAAAGATAAATAAATACATACAATACAGTACATAAATAAGTAAATACATAAAATTACTGGCAAATAATGCATAAAAAATATAGTTAAACTGTAAATCTAATTGGTAAATTATAGTAATTAAGACTTTCTATATTCAACATTAAAAATCACAGCATTATTAATCTACTAAAAAAATAAAATGAAAAGATACATTGCATTCGTTTGACAGCAATTTCTTGACGTTGCAGATAACTACATATTTCATCTAATCACATCTTGCACTGCAACTAGACAAATGCAGTACGTCTGATCCCCGCAATCATCATGAGAACGTATAACAAAATACTATGGACACAGCCTATTCTATATCATTTATCAGTTGGACAGACAAATAAGGTATTTTTGACAAACAGATTCAAATACCAGTAAATGTAAATGTCACCAACAAAATATTCAACCAGCACACCATAATTAATCAAGGTAATTAAGGCAAACCTAACCACAACAAATATTTGCTATCATTCTACTGGTACTTGATATAGTAAACATAGACAAGTACACCCCTGTTTTTTTATAAATGGTAGAATCCAGATTTGCTGACCTGGCTTTGATATAACATTTTCTGCACCATTGTTTTCCAGAGAAAAATCAATATAAATCCAAGTGGAAAACAATGTCAGTTTCTCACATAGATTCCCTTAATGGTTTGAAAAATCAATATATTAGTTTTTAAATGACACCGTTATTCATGTTCGTGTGATTATTAAATATGGATTTAATCCAGATTTGTTTAAAATGTACACAACATTGTAGTAGTATTGAATATCAACTTCCATTCATTAACATTCGTTACAGAATCAGCGTAACAATAAAAATAAACTTAGTAAAATCCTATCATCTAGGAATTTAATCATGATTTTGATATTTTAGTTTAAAACCAAAGGATCTAATAATTAGTTTCAAATAAAAAAAAACTTTTTTCACAGTTTCTGTATTTTTTGTTTCATTTTTAGATAACTACATATTTACATATAATTAAAGAGGAATTTGAGAAGTATTGAATATTAAAAATCATAATTGTTAAATTAACTAATATTTAATTTTTAAAAATCCATAATGAATAAATAGTAATCATGAAATAGAAATTAAAACTATAATAATAAAACAGTTAAACAATAATAAATAAAAAAATTCAAATGTACCTGTTTTTCCTACCATTATCATTATAATTAATAATATCCACAACTACTGCAGTGTGGGCTTCAACAAGCTTTCTAAATGACTTAAATTTTTAATAAAAGGGGTGAATTACTGTATCTTTCCTAAATTTACTTCACCTCAGGTTCTCTAGTTTCTCCCTAATAACTTGTTTTGTTTGTACAGTAACTCATTTACTATTAGTAGCATTAGTCTTATGTTAAGCAACTCTCATTAAAACATGGATTGGATTCAATAGCATTATAGTAGCAGCCATAAGAAATAAACAGCAAACAAATGATAACAAAAAATGAATATAGTTTGGGCTCATGCATGCAACAACAAAAATACACAGCAAAATTTTGATGGCACAGTCACATCACACAGTCACATGATCACACGGTCACATGATCACAGTCACATGATACAAACTCCAAAAGCATGACAATAATGAGGTGCAACTTAAGCTTTATTTATGACAATGAGTGACTAGTTTTTGTCCTTACTCATCCACAAGAGGCGGTTTCTGACGAAATGCTTCAATAAGACTCATAGAGGAACGCAATTTTCTTGAGCTAAAATCCAGAATCAAGAATGAATAAAATAAAACTTTATTATTTGATGACTTGGTAAAATTTATTCAAACAGACACTGTTGACGAAAGCTTCAGGTAATAAAAATGTTATATAGTTAGTCTTTGAAGTGCTGAGATTTGTCATTCTTATATTATTCTATAAAATACTAGAGCCATGTTCAGACTATCAAAAACCTGTGACATGCCTTATATATGGACATGATGACATCACATCATGACCATATATAGCCACATCATGACTATATATGGGCATACAACAGTTTTTTTTTGTCTAGAAAATTTGATAGTGAGGACAGACCTTGGCTATGCTGTTTATTGAACAATAAATTTTTAATTAGCATAAAAAATATGAATTATTACATAACAAAATTGCAGGGTTCACAACAGGATTACATAGTGCAGATTTTGAAAAAAATGCGTAAAATAAAATGATAGGAGTGATGTTTTGATATACCTGACGTAATAGTTAGCTTTTAATTTGCACGAAGAAGCAACGCTAGAACAGATTCTCGCATGCACACATGAATTTATGTGACGTCATTACGTTCTACATCCTACCGTCGTGCAATTGAAAGCTCTAAACTATCGTATCGAATACTCAGTATGTTCCCCAATTCTTGCGAAAAAAAATTTGCAAGTATTTGAGAAGTACTGAGTATTTGGTACGATAATTCGTCTGGTAGGGCAAAACATCACTCCAATGATATTTTACATCGCTATCATATTTCCTGATGCAAACTCACATTGTAATAAATTATAAACAGAATGATGTTGCAATATATTTTAAAATAAACTGTACATCTGTAGCATTCATGACACGGTTTTAAAATCATATTAGCAATGCAGAGCACTTAAAAGCTAACAGTATCACATGATCTGAACTGTGGGGAATAGAATTGTTAATATTGTTCTTTGATGCAATGCAACAAAAAGCATATTGTTATGGAAATACCATCGTGGGAGGGAGTTAAAAAATATTGCTGATACAATTGGATTAGTGGCTTTACAGGTGATAAATTTACTCTCAATATAAGTTACCATTTTTATATTGGATAATGAAAAAAAATAATAAACACTTCCAGAGTCTGCGAGTGCTTCTAACATTTGCTAAAAAATAATAAATATTATTTAAATACACTAGTTTGTATGTTCAAGTAAGTTGATAATTGTTATGTTACTTCAAAATGAGCAGATTCATTTTTTAAAATGAATGTATTTTTTAATTGCGCAGATGATACTGCAAAAATTAGCTCATATTTGCACAGAAAATCACTAAGAAAATCGGTACACAAAATCTTAACTACTGCATAATATATCGGTTATATAAGATTAGGTCAAAGCCTAATTTTTGGCAAAATCTGTGAAGAAAGCAGTCCTTATTTTCCAATATGCTCGGACGGATTTCTATGCCAAATTTTTGCGTGAAGGATATATTCCCCGCACAGGCCTTTCTTTACAGTCTGGTAAACTGAAAATTTTATATTTTTGATAATAGAATCCTAATCTAGGAATACATGACAAGACCGAACATTCTGAGTTTACTTGTAGTCGTACTAAGTGCACAAAGGAAAAAATATTAGATTTTACCCTTTTTTTTTTCTAAAGTGATGAGGGAGGGCAGGTGGGCAGGTTTTTTTGGTTTTTTTTAAATACAAACAACAATTTATACTATATTTTTTTAATAAGTATCGTATTCATCATTATGATATTAGCGCTGTGATATGACACTAAATTTAATTGTAGGCCTTAATTCTCTTTTCAAATTCAGTATGCTCAAGAATTCTACAGAAGTAAGTTTTACGAGCTTCTGAAGTTTGTCGCTGCTAAACAAAATAGGCCCTGACCTACAGTACCCTTCATAACTAAACATCCCTCGCTCAGTCACTTGCCCTGTGTAATACTTAGCGCTGTTTGTACAGCAACCGGATCTTTCCACTGCTGTAGAGAGGAACGATCTGGTACCAGATTTGTAGACTCGAACAACAACGAATCCAGTACCGGACCTCTAGCCACAGCGGTTTTTTTTTATGCTGTTGAAATACTGTAAATGATGCTGCAAAAAAATTTGTTTTTAATCCCCGCAACAATGTTTCCAAAATTTTTGATGCAGATGGGAGTGACTAACAAATTTTTCTATGTACCCTAAACTACCCAGGCCTATCTGTGCAATGAAGTATGGTCTAGCTAGTTCTACTAATTCCCCCCCCCCCCCTGTCTCTTATACACATCTAGATGTGTATAAGCAGACAGTAGTACCACTTACACACAAATAGCCTAGCCTACCTGCCTGTCTGAGTTGTTTGTAATGTAGGCCTTGGCCTATGCTCTTTTCTTCTGCGGCAGCAGCAGCAGCAGCAGCCTACGAATCACGATACGACGGGTGGAAACAGAGTATACCAGAAAATTATCTTAACTTTACTTTCCGTACAGAAAGCATGAACACCAATTATGGAAAATATAGTAAACTTACATTTAATCATGTGTTCCTATTTGGTGGATTTTGTTACACAACATGAGTAATCATCATCATCACATATCGGCTCTTCCTCATAAAGTTTAAAGGTCAAGTTGAATTTTTTTGAAGGATCGATTATTTTGGGAACACCTGTAAGTAAAGGAGTACACTACTTAGTATTATGTAGCCTTTATATTGTGTGTTAAACGACATAAAATAATTCTTTAACAAACAAGTTAAATATAATTATTTATTTATAATTTAAGTTATATATTCAATTGAAAATGAATAAAATAATTGTTCAATTATACCCCCTTAATCAAGTCGGCGCAACCAAACAAAGAAATCTCAAAACGCGCGAAGCAAAATGGAGAAAGGAAAAGAAGAGAACCTATCCGATAACGAGGAGGAAAATACAATACCAATCTGTAAATATGGTGCAAATTGCTACAGGAAAAATCCAGATCATTTCAAACAATTTTCACACCCTAAAAGAAAACCGGACATTATTGTGAGTAACACTGTTAGCCGTATGTACTACAGTATCTATCCGTTAGCTAGGCCTATGGATGGATGTCTGGGCTAGCCTAGGCCTAGCCAAGCCTAGGCCTATATAGAGAAGCCAACTTTCTTTCTGCCTTGACTTGAGAACGGGAAATGGGCTTATTTGGCTACCTACTTACGCTATGAAAACTTAGCATAGGCCTGTGCCGTACCATATATCAATTATACAGTATTACTAATTGTAGATACTGTACCTTCGTAGAAAACTGAAATATGGTTGTTCTCCAATTTCAAGGTAGATGCATCTCCAAGTAAGAAGAGGAAGATAGAAGAAGAAACAGATGATAAAGAGAGGCAGACAAGTGAAGATAAGGATGTGGATGAAGATAGTAAGTTATTATATAGGTCTAAATCATTTTTTGGCATGTGACAGGGGGTCTTAGCCTTCTTCCATTTTGCTGCTGCTGTTGTTAAATGTGGCTAGAAATTTGCCGCCAAGTGGTCTATCATGTCCAACCGGAGGTCCGAACCAAAGGGCCGACTAGAGTCTTGGTCAGAGTCCCAGCCAGGAATGAAAAGTGCTTGTAGGGTTCACAGGGAGAGTTTTTATGGCTTAGTATGCTCCAAATTGTGCATTTTTTAGACCACAAAATTAGGGATTGGCAATCAAAATAACATTATTTGGAGGGGGAATTCCCTTCATGCCCTCTCCCCCCCCCCACCTAATGATTGATTATTTACACCAACTTTATTGTAACTTGATTAGCTGATACTGTAGTCATCTTTTTTTTCTTTTTAGAAGATGAAGATATTTTGGAATGTCCCCCTACACCTCCATCCATGGACATCAAGGAAGAAATAGAATGGAAGTTCAAAGTTAAAATGCCACAAGACTTTTATGATTTCTGGGAGTTTTGCAAAACGCTCAATGAAACTTCTCCATGTGGTAAGAATTATCTGAAATATATTCTGTATCATTAAATTATATTGTTGATGTCATTGAAGTAATATTACTGTACTATTCACATTGTCATCGGGGATGAATTATTATTTGCATTGTATATATATTAATATTTAACTATTATGGTAAATTCAATGTTTTAACATTTCTTTATTTAAAAAAAATAGATGCCCTATTAGCTTTGGATCTCCAGCTTGTGGGACCATATGATGTTCTTGCTGGTAAACTTGGAGCAAGGAAAAACAAACGGCCGAATTATGTTCTACATTATCGGTATTACTATGACCCTCCTGAATTCCAGACTATTGTCAAGGGCGATGATGACTCACAGCTTCACCTTGGATATTACAGGTAACTTAGTCTAAACACACCTATTGATCTTTTTTTGACAATTTCTCTGTTTTTAACAATAAAATTTGTAAGATCAATGAAAAAATTCATCTGGTTCTTATCATGTATTAATGTTAACTTTCATTTATGCATGAACCAAAATAACACCGGCATTTACCTGGATGTTTCAATCACAATCAGCGATCTTTTTCAACTGACTGTTGTTAGTTCAGTCTGGTCCTACTGGGGAAGTAGCCATCTTGGCAACAGAAAAATCTGAATCCATTTTATCGATGAGGGTTCTTATGAACTCTCAACTATTTACAACGGACTATTAAACACAACATGGGCAGATGTGGCCCTGACCAACATCAGCACATTACGTCATCGGACTGATGACATCGTGACCAGACTGAAGTAACAACACAGTCAGTTGAAAAAGATCGCCGATTATGATCGCAATGTCCAGATAAATACCGGTGTTATTTTGGTTCATGAGTAAATGAAAGCTTAACAACAAAATTTGTAAGGTTCTCCACAATATTTCTTAGGGGTTTTTTTTTTTTTTGCTTAAGGCTATTTCATTTTTATTGTTATTATTGCTTCACTTTTTTGACATTTTACTGTGATTTTTTTTTTTGTCATATTTTTATGTGACTGTTTTTTCTTACTGATGTCTTTCTTTTGAGCTTCTCTTTTTATATCCATATTTATACATTTATTTTATTGTTATCCGTTCTGTAAGTGGTGGGTTACCTGCTGGTGGGTGTGATTTGACATAAAATAAAACATAAAAATAACTTTTAAAAATGTTTAACTGGTTAAAAAAAAGATAATGATGATGATAGAAATAAAGGATAATAATAGCTATCAAATTTAAAAGTTAAACAAAAAAGAATGTTTTCTTGTCAACTATTATTTTTTTTGTATAGAGTTTAAATACGAATATGATAACACTTTATTGAAGTTTGTTATAACATACAAATTGAAGTTGAACATTAAAAATACATATTAAATATCAATATAAAATTTCATTAAACAATCAAAACCAAAGAACAAAGGGTAAAGTGGAGGAAAACTAACAAAAAAGGGACAGGAACACCTTAAAACATATTAAAACAGTAAAAGTAAATAGGATAAAACATATTAAATTCAATAAAAAGCAATTGGTATCAAAAGGGAATGAGAGGAATAGAAAGACAACATAAAACTACATACTTTTTAGGGATTTTGAAGTAAAACATTTATTAATTTGAATGTCCTTTTTTTTTTAGAGACGAACCGAAGAAAGTACCAGTGTTTGTAGCGTCCAATAAAGCCAAGGTCAACCACCTAATTACACCGCAAGGAGAGAACTTGTTTGCTGCCACCAAGTAAGATAATTGATAAGTTTCCATGACTGTTGCTAGGTTTTGAAATAGGAAAGTTAAGATGTGTACCTGAGGTGTCAGCTTTAATTGAGCACTTGGTGTGGCTTATATACCGTACATGCGTGAATAAGCGCCCCATTTAAATAAGCGCCCCTCAGAAAATGCAAAAAATATTTTAAGCGTCCGGGTGCTTATTCGCGCGAGTACGGTAATGTATGCAAAATTTGGCTCCCATAAATTATCTATAAAATTGGAAACTGCCTGAACCATTTTCAAGGATCCTAAAACCTTATTGGTGGCCAGATACTACGACATCATTTTAAAAATTCTGGTGGTAGAACAAGTCCTTGGATAATGATTTTAAATGTAAGCTTAATGTACACAAACTCTTATCATTTGCACATTAAATAAAATTGGACATTCCTTCGCAAAGAGTAGGGATTGACCAAGTGTTCTCGTCCAGCCCCATGGGCTGCACTTGTCATAATGGGACCTTTAGGAGCAGCAAGTTACAGAACAAGCTCATCCACTAGAGACCAAGGTACTGCTAAATAAATACATTTCCATTGACCATGAGAGATTTAATGAAATTTATAAGGATTATAAATATTATATATTAACTTTTCCCACAATAAATCAGACTTCACCTTGACAAAATTCTTGAGAAGACCAAGGTCAACCAACAAACGAAAGAGCTTGAAAAGATTTCAGAGGCATTGTGTAAGTTTGCTGAGGAGAATGGCTACAGTCTGGAATCAAAGACAACAGCTATGAAAGCAAGAGAGAAGCTTGTGGTTGCAAAGACCTTCCACGGTGCTGGCATTGTCGTTCCGGTCGATGAGAATGACGTTGGGTACCGATCTATTCCTGAGACCAATGGTAAGCCCTCAACAGACAAGAATTTCTTTTTAACATACAGTATGTCAAATGTGAAGGTTTTCATACTGATAAAAAAGCATAATTATATGATTATTTAAAATTTACTGTGTTCTCTGTTGCAGCATGCCTGAAAAAAATATTCAAGAATATTACAAACAGCAAAGATGAAGATGATAAAATTAAGAAATTTGAGCCCCTGCAAGAGCTAACGACGTTAGTTCAGTTTGCCAATGATGAGTGCGACTATGGAGAGGGCTATGAGCTCGGCCTGGATCTGTTTTCTTATGGCGGTGAAGTTTTCCACAACAGCATCAAGAATCTGTTATTGGTTGCATACCAGTTGCTAGGAAGGGGTGAATTCGGGGAAATATTGGAAGCACACTTAGCCCAAAGGAACACAGATGACGTTAGTCAGCTTGTGTAAGATTTTTTTTTATCCTAGAGAATTCGGAAAATTGTCCTTGAAATTTATCGAGGACAATACTTACACAGATTTTGTTTTTGATTGACAATATATCAAGGCCCTTTGATGTACACATGGTTTACACACCTCGGGTCACAAAAATTTCTATAACTTTTATATACGTATAAATCATAAATTTGAAACCGTATATCACGGAAAATAAATTGCACAAAATTCTTCTCTGGGCATAAGCATAAGCAGAGTGACCCTGATGAAAAGTGAAAGCAGTTTATTTTAGTATTCATATTGTGAAATTTTTCAATAACCAATTTTATTTTCCATCAATATCAAGGTCCTGGAAAACACAGAGATCAGTTTCCCTAACCTATGTGAACCCTGGGTACATTTTGTGAGGGCATTAGCAGCAGGATGAAATTTTAGTTGGTTTGAATAGATTGTCCATAGAAAAGTATTATTAATATTTGATAAATAATCTTTTAAATTAGACACCTGATACCGAAAATTTCAAGCTTCATGGGCCTTCGTGACTGTTTCTAGACCCCACTAGAGCTGCTAAGTGGCCCTATATTATTATAGATATTGTAATTTTTCTAGAGACTAGAAAGGCTACTCATATTATAATAAATGTGGCAAAACAACGCAACTTGAAATTGAGTTATTTTAATTTATTACGCCTGGGGCAATCATATGCATTATCTAGCTTTTGCATGCTCTACGTCATCGTAAAGATTATTGATATGAAAACACCATCTGTGCCAAACTCCATCAGCTCAAAACAATTTTTGAATAACATTCCGAGGCAAAACAAAGTATCTTCATCGTGTAGATACGTTGATTTTCCCCCTAATCTTGCAGTTATGTTGTTTTACCACGGAAAATCACTAGATTTTACCATGGAAAATCACTAGATTTTACCATGGAAAATCACTAGATTTTAAGTTTTGTGCTTAAAAAAGATAGGTGGTGCTATCTCTGAAACGACTCGTTGTTGAGACCTGAAATTTTCATGAGTAAAGTGTTTAATATACTCCCAAATGATATTATCTCAAAATTGACAAAAATGCGCAAATAAAATTTTATTTTTATTCGAAATCAGCAATATTTGCAGTCGGCAGATTCGCTAAACAAGGTATAAAAAGTCTTGTCTTGTCTTACCGGTTGCCATTTGAGCTCTCTCTGCCCTTCTATTCCTTTGCTTTAGTAATATTTTTGATCATTTATAAATTTGATTAAACCCTAATAAAAATTTAATTTTAAAGTGACCTTGTTTCATGAAACAAAAAATATTATTGTTGATATGCTTTTAGTTTTTATATATTTACGTTACTTTTTTGGCTAATAAAATTGTTATATTTTAAGGTGGTTTGATCTCATTTATTTATGTTGATAAATGTCCATTAGTAAATGCAAGGAATTGTGTGAATATAGTAATATATATATTATGAAAAATTAAGTATAAATACAACTACAATAAACTCGAAAGATTTGTATAGCCCAATATTACAGTATGTGCATGCAAACGAGCAAGTCAAACAAAAAACTGGAGATCAACAAAAATTATGTAGGTGCATAGAGACAATGGCAAGATCAGGGGACCTATTATAGGTCTAAGAGCACAATTTTGGGGATCCTAAACTATATACAGTAATCTCTTTGCAATTACCTTCACAAAGGATATTTTTCCAGGACTTTGACCAAAGCTGTAGACTGCAGTTTGGTTTATTTTGGAGCTACTACTGCAAAGAGCTATCTTCAAATGTCAGTAATCCTGTCTCTTATACACATCTAGATGTGTATAAGAGACAGTTTCTCTGTTCGGCATTATGCTAGGGGGGTCCCTGCGAAATTTTTGTTTTCTAGATGCCTGAAAATAACCTTTGAGGCATTCTGGGCGATGCATTATTTCTTTTCTTTTTTTTTTCACTTTCCAAAAGGGGCCTGAAAATAATATCTGAGGCGTTTTGGGCAATCAACTATTTCATTTTCTTTCTTTTTTCTTGCACTATCCAAAGGGGGAAACTGCGGCTGGGCCGGCACCCCCTGCTTAACGTCTTGGTAACAAGCAACCTTGGAGATCGGTTGACAAAAAAAAAACTACAATACCGACACAATATCTGCATTACTTCGCTGAGTAACTAATTTATTGAAAATGCTACCTTGGATTTTTTTGCTAGCTTCATCAACTGCACACAGAATTTGCTAATTGTATTTTTATATACATTTAATATATTACATTATTTTTTTACAAGAATCTGCCCACTTCATGGAAGTGTACAATATAGTTCATTTTCGTCTGAAAAATGATAAAAAAAAAAGGAATAGCCTGGCTTACAGTTCTAACAGTTTATGGGGAAAAAATGTGTTGTTATGGGAAAAATTCAACAGGCACTTTTCCACAAGCTTAGACGTTAAACTTGGTAGAAACTGAATAATTTAAGGGTCCTCTTTCCCATTAAGGGGCAACAGGTTTCTTTCTAGTATAAAAACATGTGATAGTACTTACAATGTTGTTAAAATCTCAGAATACTAAAAGTATATAGCACCAACTTTTCACAGAAAAGTTAAAATATAGTTATATATAGTTTTTCCAGAGAAAATCAATTACCATTTCTAATTACTGTGAATTTATTTGCGCTTCCTTAATTAAGAACCACTTAGTGGCTAGCAGTGATTTCTAAATAATTAATGGTATATACATCATTGGTGGGTCCAGGAATGTGAAATAAATGAGGCCCAGGGAGGGACTTTCACAGATGGAGGGTCTATACCTCCTCAGCCTTACCATGGTTTGGGGGCAGAGGTAAGAAAATTCATCTTTTCAAGAAAAAAATTTTTTTTTTAAATAATTTTGAGAAATTAAGCGAGGGCCTGGGCCGGCTGGACCCCACCCCATTGAATCCACCACTGGTGATTTCTTGGATCGTTTGGTATATTGTTGAACTTTGGAGAACTAGAGAACAGTATGCATAAGTTTAAAAAAAATTAAGAGTGGTCAATGATTCTGCATTGTTATAGCCAGCCTCTTCCACAATAACAAAACCGTCTCAAGATGATTTTGATTAAAACCACTGAAACAAACTGATTTAATAATTACTGTGATGAACAGGAGCAAAGGGAAGGAAAGTGTGCATCCCAGCGGTGAGATGGCGTTGCCATCACTACCGTTGCCATCACTACCGTGTACACACAGGGACATTGTTGTCAGTATGCTGGGCTCTAGTAGCTTCGCAACTTGGCCCTGAAACGAGATTAATAAATCTACTGTAAATAGCATTAGTTTCATCACCAGCTTAAAAATAGTAAAGCAAATATTCTTGATCATTCGCAAGGTTACTGTTGCTAATTTTGATTATCATTCTTAAATATTACTCTCATTTAACAGTGATTTTAAAGCTATAGCAAGGTGTCTATAATTTCCTTACACCAGCAGACTTTGTGCGATAAATAACATTATTTGGCAGTTTAACTATTTATGAATGAACAGACATTTTACTGAGCGACAACAAATCTTGGCTTTACTTCTGATCTTAAATCATCCAAGATCTGTACATCGTCCTCATTCCCAATCTGAAATAAACCGCTTCCTGATGTGCTTGTTTGCATGTGGAAGTAAGGCATTAATAGATCTAAATAGGAGATTCTTTGGCAATCCTGATATATAGGACTCTTGTTGTCTAGGCTGCGTATTAAATCATTACTAATGGCATCAACAGTTAACATGGCCGACAGATTTGGAGCAGAATGTGAACAATGCATTGTGGGAATGCCTGGTGCCTTTTCAATGTCTCTGTGCAAGTGTTCCTCAGATTCCAGGCATATAGTGGAGGCTAGATTTTCCTTGGCAGACTCCTCGGATTCTAAGGATATTATGGAGGCTAGACTTTCCTTGGCTTCCTTGTTACCATTTTCGCTTGCTATACTGAACCAGGCTTTTGCTTCAGTCCTATCCGCTGGGATACCTCCAAGGCCTTGTTGGTGGAACCGCCCCATACAGCATTGAGCTTCACTGTGCCCCTTTAATGCTGCTTTGTGGTAGAGATCGCCAGCCTTGGCTTGGTTGGTGACCACGCCTATACCCTCTTCGTAGCACATCCCTAGCCTGTAGGTTGCTTCGACATCCTTATATGGAATAGAACAAAAAAACAGGCAAATTATCATCAGGTAAAATAAAATGATTTAGACTATTCCGGGAAGGATCCAGAAATGTTCAAAAAGGGGGGGGGGGCGCCAAATAGGGGACTGATCGAGATAATACTATGCTAAGGGGTCCGGGGCATTCCTCAGTAAAATTGTTATTTTCTAGACTCCCAAAAATACCGTTTTTGGGAGTTTTTGGAAATTTTGAGCAATCATTTTTTTTCTTTCTTTCTTTTTTTTCTTTTACTTTCCAAAAGGGGGAGGGGAGGGGCAGGGCCACCTCACCCAATGGAGAAGTGGGGGATCGATGTGGTGGGGGGTATGGCGATTATTTTTTTTTGGGAAGGTGAACAACCCCCTAGATACACCATTGCATAAGAATAATAATTACAATTACAACATGGGTATTAAACAGAATTACCCAAAGCATTAATATTACCTTTTGTTTGGCAGCCTCTTGGAGGTAATAGATGCCTTTATCCAGGTCTTTATTAGGCTCATGCACCAGCATGGACCCCAGGTAGCTCTGGGCCTGGCACAGACCCTGATCAGCTGACTTGCTCAGCCAGTGAACAGCCTCTTCTTCATCTTTCTTCACCTTTCCTGAGCCTAGCAAATGGAAGATGCCGTAGTTGTACTGTGCCATAGCATGGCCTTGAACCGCAGCCTTCTTGTACCAAAATGCAGCCTATATTGAAAAAGAATAAAGTTCTAGGAATTCATGTGATAACACCATAAATCAAGAATTTAAAGCCCTGTCCAGACTATCAAATTTTATTTGACAAAAACATGTGACATGCCTAAATATGGTCATGATGACATCACATCATGACCATATATAGCCACATCATGACTATTAATGGATATACAAAAGAAAATTTAATAATTTTGAGAGGCTGAATGCCTCTTTTTGTTAACCCATCACGAACAATGATTTTGAATACTGTTAGTATACCCGCCACCTTCTTATACCCATTGGCACCATCAAACCTCCAAAAAGGAAATCTTAGTTGCAGTTATATAAGTAAACAATATATAATATTATATAATATAATAATAATAATATAATATAGGCATACATAATTATCATTTTCATTTTAATGTGTAAATTAGATATACTGTTGATCAGATTGCTTTTTTTCTGTCTGAAAAAAAGCTACATTTTATTACCTTTTTGCAGTTGCTATCGACCCCACGGCCATATTCATAGCAGACGGCCAAGTTAAATTGTGCTCTGCTGTTCCCGGCCTTAGCACCATCATGAAAGTAGGAAGCCGCTAAATTAATCCGGCCCGACTTGGCCATTTCCAATCCCAAAGTATTGTACGTCTGACCAAGGCTCTCGCGCGCTACTTTATCAATGAATGCTTTTGAGTCTTCAACAGGCTCCTAAAAAAAATAAATAAAATAAAGGTAATAGAGTAAAAATATTCTTTTTCATTTTTCATATGTATGTGATTTGTATGTTAAAATATAATATTGACAATTTAATTGGTATACAATTTTAAAATAAAATTTATATTTCATAGGTTCATGCTTATTTGAAACATTGGTTTAAATCAGGGGTGGGCATAAAAATTGGTCGGAAGGCGAAAGTGAATTCTTGATTTAATACTGAGGGCTGCACCAAACCTGATGTTTCCAGTATGCTTCCAAAAAGTTTCACAGACTGCTTCTATTCCACTTCATGCTCAGTTCTAACATTACTTTTTACAGATGATTGGATGATGGTTTGTGGGCCGCACACATAGGGTATTAAATATATTTTTTCGGGGCCGCAACCAAATCAGTGTCAAGCCGCATGTGCCCAGCAAGCCGCACCTTACCCACCGATGGTTTAAATATTTTACTTTCCTTGTCTTGTGGTAATCATTATAAAAATTATTTGATTTATTTGTATTTTCATAATAAACCCCTAACATTAATAATACATTCAATGTTATTTCCTTCTTAGATCATATTGTATCCACCAGATGATTCTTTTCAATAATAATAATAATAATAGACTATAAGCTTCAGTTGTTGAAATGGTTATGACTTAATAATATCTTCACCTCCTTTTGTTCATTTTCTTTTGTTGATTTTGTTTTTGTTACATTTGTTGCACTCATTATGCTCTTCCTGGTAGTAAATGTCTGGGGCATGGCATGTGCCAGTTTATAGAACCTCTTGCCCTCAACTTCATCTTGGTCTTTGTTGAAAGTCCTGCTGAGCTGGAGTCCTAGCACAATTGCTGACCCCTACAAAAAGAAAGGGGGAGAGGGAGAGGGGGAATGAAATAAAAGTAAACAAACCAAAGTAAATACAAAAAAAGTTATTAGTAGCTGAATCACTTATTGTTATTCATTCATTCAGTGAGTCAGTCATTCAATTCACTCATCCCATCCGTCCATCCCTCCTTCCATCAATCATCGATTCATTCATTCGTATGTGAGGGTAACTCATACAGCAAAGATGACTCTGCTAATGTTTGTATCACAGTTCAGGCTAACATAAAATAGAGACACTATTGAAATTAAGAACATTATTAATACTAATTAAAATACACATAGCATCACATACAGATAAATATGCTAAATACAAAAATATTCTACTAAAATTTATCAAGGTTTTAATAATTATTATTTATTTTTTTATTGCATCAACAATGTAGGCTAAATAATCCTAGGGCAAAATCACAGTCTATCTGATAGAATTTTTTCTTTTAGATATAGACCTAATTCTATGGTCCACTGCCAACTATCAGTCACCCCATATATTTTAGGTTATAAATTACAACCATGATACTAGAATCTACAATTAATTATCAAATTTACTAGGTTAAAATTCCGAAGTGGTTGATAATGTCATAACTAGTTTTCGAGACTCACCAATCCCATAGCCTCCGCAATGTTACCCGAATTCCAGCAGGAACTCCAGAAATTTCCGCACCTGAAATTCTGATGTTGTTCATTCCTTTCCCTATTATCACCTCCATCTTCATGTTGACTGGGAGATGCAGGAGCGTACCATCTAAAAGGAAACATCATTCAAAGTTGTGGTCTGAATTCTTTTCTTATGCCATGGTTTTAAAAGCAAAGCAAAACGTCATTTGGATTCAGCAATCAGAAATGTAATGAATGAATGAAAACTGAAGACATGTGACTTTGTTTACATTTGGTAAACATATATAGTACGGATTTTCCCAATCCCCATTATCAAAAAACTATTGAGAAGTCCAAAAAAACGGCACAATAGAAAATTATAGAGCCAAGTCTAGACAGTTAGTCTTTGTTTAATCATTATATTTTAAATCGATTTTCAATACCAAAGACAAGAGAATATGCCAGCTGGCTATATGCCAAAATAAATAGTCACAATGTAAGTTGTTATATCTATGCACCTTCATAAAGATTATATGTGGTAAAATAGCATTTCTGAATGGTTTTTTTAAAGTTCAGTCAAGACGGTATTTTGACATTAACTTGACATTATTTCAATTATATTATCATATTGATCTATTTTTTTTATAGAAATATATAAAGCTACAGTATTTCTATGATTTGAAAAAAAAAGTTCAATCATCATTCATTTTGGTTAATGGGGCTACATTAATTGTTGGTTGGTTGCCAAATCCACTTCCACTCTTTAAATCAGGAAATAGAAGGTTTACAAAAGCACGTGCCTCTGCTGGCTCAAAGCCAAGTTCAAAGGTTAAACAAGGGCCTTGTTGTACTGCTAAGTAAATGGTTAAATTAAATAAAAAGGAAATAAACAACTGTTATATTTCTTCTTTTTTTTTTGTGGTAGGATAAATGTGACCCAAGAACAACTGTATCAATTCTTTATAATTCCTACAAAAGCTCAGTTCAAATTTTCTTTTTATGCCTATATATAGTCATGATGTGCCTATATGGCCATGATGTGATGTCATCATGACCATATTTAGTCATGTCACATTTTGATAAATTAAATTTGGTAGTCTGGACAGGTCTTCATAATACATACATTTTAGATTGAATGGTTTAGCATATTCTTTTTGGTAACACAAAATAGTGTCAGTATCAGGCCTCGAATTTGGGGATTTTATGGGCAAGGCCAAATGGCCTCCGGTATGACATGATTTCGAAACGCACCAAGGCCAAATGGAAAGGGTGCACCAAGGCCAAAATTTCAAATATAAAAGGGCACCAAGGCAACATTTGATTTAGCCTCAGTACTAATCTCTCGCGAGTGCCTTGATTCGTAGCCAAGCTAGGCCTAGCCAAGCCATCGTTGTCGATGGTAAAATGACTGGAAGGGCACCGTCGGCAATGGCCGCGGTTAAATTCGAGGCCTGCAGTATTATTAGTTGACTCAAACTTGGGATAAGCATTGCTAGATTCATAAATAGTAATTTGGTCTAGGTTTGTTTTTTTAAAATTGTAATTATACTATATTTGTATTTTAATGATCAAAACAGATCTTCTCCGGGGTACCCCTGATCCCTGAGTTGGTGTAAAAGTTCTACAAAAACCAACAGCCGATGACGAAATGATCTAACTTGGGTTAGGTCATTCACCTGAGAAAGATCAATGAAGTTGGTCGAAACTGTATTAATAAGAAATTTTACTGTTGGCTTAGTACTAAAGAAAATTCATCTATTAAATACATATCAGTAGCCAAATGAAATTATTTGAGCATTTGAAACTTAGGTTCTTCACTATTTTGCTCAATTAGACAGGAGTGCATACCTGACAGGGTGGTTTATGAGTGTGCCCTTTTCCGTCAAATATTGCGGTAAGTAATACCCTGTGATTGACCTGTCATAGTCTTCATCTTGACGACCAGCTCCCGATGTCTGGATTCCAGTCTGAACATACTGTCTAAACACTGTAATCAAAAGAATCAATTATTTTCTTTTTTAAAAGACAAAAGGCAGAAAAATTATGAACAAATAAAACATATATTTATAGACAATTCAGAAATTTCTGGGTAGCTCTGCAAGATAAAAAGCTATTAAAGAAATCTACGATCCATACTAAAATTAAAGTTTTTTAATTGCGAGGATGATACCTCAAAAACTAGCACCAATTTGTGCGCTAAAAATTACTAGGAAAATGTGCACAGAATTGTTAACTACTGCATAATACACGTTATATCTCAAGATTAGGTCAAAGCCTAAATTGGCCATTATTTTCCAAATGTGCAGACAGATTTCTAGGCCTAATTACAGTCTGGTTTATGAACTGATCTTAACGCTGCTCTTAATTAAAGTGATAAGTTTGTAAATTGTGGCCATCTTTTTCCTAGCGAAAATTGCAACTGATTTAAGGCCAAGTAAAAAAAAAAAACATGTTTCACGTCCGGCTTTTTTTTTAAATTGAGGAAGCGGCCTTTTTTATTTTTTATTTTTTATTTTTCAAAATGGCCGCCATTCTACAGACTTGTTGACATTTCCCATCTAGTTAACGCTCGGAATTTATCGTTGAGTTTTGTACTCAACAGGATAACATACTCAACGTTATAGTCCCAATCGAATACGGCAATTGTATGCATGACAAACGCGCTCTAGTGAAGTGAACTAGAGGTTCGCCGCCTTACGTCCAGAGTAGGAGACGGCCTAGGCCTAGCCTAGAGATATCGGGCTAGCCTAGGCCTAGCCTAGGTAGAGATATTGGGCTAGCCTAGGCATAGCTTTACTATACGAAAGGTTAGACGAAGATATTGCACTATTTTAGGCTAGGGTATTTATTTTCCAACATTTAATTCTAAATTTTCGATATATTTTTTCTTTATTTTCATGAATTTTCCAAAAATAAAAAATAAAAAAAAAATCAAGGCGGGCGAAAAAAACGATGCGGGCGGGGACGCGAAACATGTTTTTATTTTTTATTTGGCCTAATTACTAAGTTTAAAAATGTTAAGCATGGTGGTGTGTAGGTATACCATAGTAATAATTAGTGATAACCATGCAGCGGTAGGCCAGTTGATAAGTTTGTAAATTGTGGCCATCTTTTTCTTAGTGAAAATTGCAACTGATTTAATTACTAAGTTTAAAAATGTTATGCATGGTGGTGTGTAGGTATACCATAGTAATAATTAGTGATAAGGCCAAGTAAAAAAAAAAACATGTTTCACGTCCGGCTTTTTTTTTAAATTGAGGAAGCGGCCTTTTTTATTTTTTATTTTTTATTTTTCAAAATGGCCGCCATTCTAGACTTGTTGACATTTCCCGTCTAGTTTTGTTCAACATATAAAATTTAGGAATCATTGTTACTGTATACAATCGGAATGTTCCCGATGTTACGTCTCAGACGTCTTCACATGAAACTATTCCATACAATCTGACATAGAGGGCCAGTATAACGGGAAATTCCAGAATTCATCGGAAATCATCGGCCGTATTCGATTGGGACTTTCATGCTCTGCTCAACGGAAACTGCTCAACGAAGTTAACGCTCAGAATTTATCGTTGAGTTTTGTACTCAACGGGATAACATACTCAACATATAGTCCCAATCGAATACGGCAATTGTATGCATGACAAACGCGCTCTAGTGAAGTGAACTCGAGGTTTGCCGCCTTACGCCCAGAGTAGGAGACGGCCTAGGCCTAGCCTAGAGATATCGGGCTAGCCTAGGCCTAGCCTAGGTAGAGATATTGGGCTAGCCTAGGCATAGCTTTACTATACAAAAGGTTAGACGAAGATATTGCACTATTTTAGGCCAGGGTATTTATTTTCCAACATTTAATTCTAAATTTTCGATATATTTTTTCTTTATTTTCATGAATTTTCCAAAAATAAAAAATTTAAAAAAAATCAAGGCGGGCATGTTTTTTTTTTTATTTGGCCTAACCATGCAGAGGTAGGCCAGTCGATAATTCGTTCACTTCAGCTTGCCCTGCACGCATAGTAGCCTATTGAAGGATAGGTCCAACAAGCTAAATTTTAATCGATTTTATAGATAAAATTTTATATTTTTATAAATGACTATTTAATGTTTGAAACTAAATTTTGTATAGATTTGATATTTTATTAATCTCATTTTTTTATTGAGTTTTTATTGCATTGTGTTTTTTCATTGTACCCAAATTATTATTTGATGTTTCATTTATTCATATATATTTACAGAATATAGGTCCAATTTTTGGAAAAATTGTTTTATTTTTTTTACAAATAGTTAGTAGATAGTGTTTATATTATTTCAATCATGTTTTATTTTAGTATCAATGCACCAGCAAGCAACCTAATGGGTGATAGTTGGCTCTAATAGCAAAATACTGTAAAACTTAAAAAGCCTCCCTCCCTCCTCACTTTTCCAGCCTAGATAGGGTGAAAACTATTTTTTTTTTATAGGGCCTAAATTGTATTGCTATATTAATGATAACAAAGGCCTTGCTTTTATGATTGTTGTAATGTTTTTACATGAGGTCATCCTCGATAAATAAAGTTGCATAAAAAAATGAAACTTTGTTTTTTAAAATTAATGTATTTCCAGGCTTAGCCTAGGGCTATGTTGTGTTTATGTGTCTAGGGCCAAGCATACATACTGTAGCCTAGCCAGGCCTAAGAAAGTAGGCTGATAACGATGTGGATAATTTTGTGAATACCGTTTAACCTTTTTACAGTTATTATGGTTGAAACTTGCTAGGCCCAAGCAGTCAGAAACTATAAATCATGGTCACTCCCCGGCAACTTCAAGGGGTTGAACGTTGAAAGACTGCATCCCGATACGGAGATAGGTTGTGTCGGGTCAGCTAACTAATAAACCACACAGGGCTAGGCTAGGCTAGGCCTAGCCAGGCTAGTCTAGATCCACTCCTACTCATCGTATATATAAAACATTTAATGTTACTTACATCGTGTTGGTAATGTACGCCACATCTTACTCATCAGCGGCCATAACTGTGAAGAAAGTTCAGAGTTTTGAAGTTGATTTTAGCCCTTACTTTCCCTCCACCGGTAGACAACGAAGCATGGGAGAAATAAGTAAAAATAAGCATGATGTAATGTTATAATGCTGCCCTCTATTATACCGTCAACATTATGTTACTGTTCCCTGGTTTATAATAAGGTCGTATTTGTGTTCAACGATTAATTATGTCTCTTCTTCTTTATTGTATACGCAAAAAACAAACAAATGGTATACAATAGGAGCCAAGAAATAGACAAGTCTAATTGAGCTTGGCCACTTTCTTAACTATCCCCCTCAGCCCCAATAAATAAATTAGAATAAAATAAATATACGGTACCGTATCTCTAGCCACGGCGTAAATAAAATAATGAAAATAAATAAATAGGCATCAATCTTCATACTCGGAATAAAGTAGTATGAATCTAATTTAATTCATACTATTTTTATATATGTTCTCTTTAGTTGTTCTCTTTATTTGATTAGAGCCAATTCATTTTCACTTTATTTATTTTGCTTTTATCCTTTTGTTTAAAACTGTTACTTTTCATGGTTTGGTAATGGTATCAAAAAACAACTCTCAGCAGACACATACAATACAAGATTAGACTTTATATTTCTTGTTTCGCATAGGCCCACTTATTTTTGTGAAGATTATCTGAGGAGGGCTGAGGAGGAAATAAAAATAAAATATTACTGGTGAATGTAAAATTAGATGGTTAAATGCTTCAAATTTATATAATTATGAAGTAGTACACATATATTATTTTTGGAGATTTCAAGGCAGCGGAGATTGTAATAAAAATAAAGAAAACCTTTTATTTTTTCCCGAAATTTCCAATTTTTCGTGGCGGCGGCCGGGTGCGCTAATTGGCCAAAAATTAAATCATCTATATTCAGGGGCGGATTTAGGGGGGGCCGGCCCGACCCCGGCCCCCCCTTTTGGGAGGTAAAAAAAGAAAAAAAAAAGAGAAAAAAAAGAGAAAAAAGGAAAAAAATGATGGCTAAGAATGCCTCAAATGTTATGTTCGGGCGTCTAGAACACAAAAATTTCGCGGGGGCATTCCCCCAGACCCCCTACAATAGTGTTGTCTCAATCGGCCCAACTTTCGGCCCCCCCCCCCACTTTTGGACATTTCTGGATCCGCCCCTGATATTTGCAGTCGGCGGGTTCGCTAAACAAGGTATAAAGAAAGTCTTGCCTTACTCGCCACAAATTGTGTATTGGGGCTGAGGCAAGGGTGCAAATCTGTTTTGAAATATGTGGGGAGGGGGAGAATTTTGTGAAACTACACCCACCCCAGCCCCACAATGGTTAGGGCTGCAAATAGTACCTCAAGCTGGCCGGAAATGACACACTTATAAAGTAAAAGTCATCATAATCTTTTATCAGTGATTTTTAGCTATCATAGAAATCTAAATAATCTGTATTGCACCATAGGAAATAAAACTTAATTGTCTTTGATGTATTAATTTATTTTACCTACTTCATTTGCAGAAAATCTTTTTTCATACTTCTCAAATTATAACAAAAGCATGCGCACTCGAATCATATATAATAGGTAATTGAGACGTTAGTTATACCAGTACCATGTTATAATATAGAAGTACAGTACCGTACTCAGGCTGTGCAGTGACTTTTTCGTTAAAACCTGGGTCATTTATGCAGTTCATTTCAACAACTTTCAAGCATCATCTTTACTTATGAAACTACATTGCAGTCAAAATGCTGGTGGGGGCCAAACCCCCTTAAAAATATGTGGGAGGGACGTGTCCCCCATCCCCATGATCTGTGCCGATGGGCTGAGGCAAGGAAAATTATGATTATTGCTCCTTTAGATGGCCGGAAATGGCACTCTCAGACCTATATTTGAATATAAATTTTTTTTCTTCTCCATTTTAAAAAAATTTCATAAATTTGGGGAGGGGGTTAGGAAGGACCACTGGGCGTCCCTTGAAGAATATCAACCTCTGGATGGCCGAAAATGGCACACTCAGACTGTGACAGACATGTCTTGGCTTGCTGTGGGCCTATTTTTATGTTTTATGGTCTGACTGCCCAACGAGCTCTGTCTCAAGCGAGGGGGGAGGGGCTTAAGCCCTCACGCTGGCTCCACCACTGGTTAGCGGGAAGGTCCATTCTTCACTGTGCACCAGATCAATTTCACTATAAAATCACTTCCATCCTACCAGATACCAATTTACAATCCTGGGTGGAGAATAAAAGACGTTAGAGACACAATGGGACCAGCTTTCTAACTCCAAACAACACACTATTTTGTTGAAAAACCCAATTCTTATGGCAGTACAGTACATACTTCTATCTTCACCGTACACAAACTAAAAGAAACGCAGTGCAAACCAGTTTAAAATTTTTTGCCCCAATTTATTTCATATCAAAGAAATCAAAACTAGAAGATACAAAATATTTGCTACTATACCCTTTTGCTCTACCCTAAAAAAGATCATCTATGAAGTAAAAGAATACTTTTTCATACACTCAAATTTCTATTGCAATTTTAGTAGCAACCGTCAAAATTAGCAAGTTACAATCACTAATAAAATACTTAAAAACAAACAAACCATTTTATCAATATCATTTGCCAGTACAAGGATTATGAAGAATGGAATATTACATTCTAAACACATCATATATTATTAACAAAAAATATATTTTTTTCCAATCATTGAGCTGTAAAGATAAGCTGATTAGAAACATAACTTTTATTAATCCTATGTTTTGACTGTAATATATAATTATTTACATGTTGTGTGTGGTTTTAACTGAAAAATTTTCAAGCATGCATTTCAACAAGCACTAACAAATCAACAAACACTGTATTTCTTTACCATCTGTCTTTGGTACCATTTGTCTTTTGTACATCTTGTTCCTGAGGCAATGGAATTTGAAATTGTATAAAAACTATTGTACATATTTATTTAAGAAAACTGTAATACAGTTATGTACGTTACCTTTATGAATATGTATGACCCGGACATACATATTCATGTATGTGTTATGACCCGGGTCATGTGTACCCATTCATACATGAATCAGGGATATTCATAGAACAGACACATGCATAATGAAACATCATGAATATGTAGACATTTAGGTCATGCATATTCATGATCATACATATTTATATGAATGAGTTAAAAAATGAGAACACATGCATATGTATGAACACATCATGAATATTCACACATGACATGCATATACATAATAAATGCATACATAAATTCATAATATAGCCTGGATTTGTTGATTTCTTTTAGGTATTCAACAATTTTCTCAAATAACATGTATATATTTTATTTTTTAGTATCATTACAGAATTAAAAATCCATTTAATTATAAAGAAAGCAAACATTCCTTCAAAACTGCATACAGAAATTTAAGCATGTTCATACATATATCCAGTAGCTGGTGATGTAATGAAACTTTTTTTTCAGCAGCAGGTTTCTGTTTCACTGAAATATTTGTTCTAAAAATATATGTCAAAACCATGTTTGAAAACATTGTAATGCTGTTAAATTTTAGAAATACTGTTTGACAAACAAAATAAAATAAACAAAAAGGATGATTTTGGACAAGATTTATTGATGAAATCCAGGTGGTTACTAGTGTTTAACATGTGGACTATAGGTTAATTACAGGTGGAGGAAATGCAAATCTGTTAAAACATATTTAATGGATAGGCCGTTAAGGATGCATCTTGAAATTGAAGTCTAACCAATGAAAATGGACACATTTAAGATAAAATCGATCAATGAAATACAGTTTATATACAGGTGGACTATGGGTTTATTACAGGTGGTGGAAATGCCAATTTTTAATACCTAATTTTAATGATGGGCAATTTGAAGTAGGGAACAGTACATTAAAACTATTGTTTCATTAAATTTTTCATTTGATAAAAGGGAGGATTTAAAAGTAATCAAACATTTTTTTTTTATCAGTTCACTCATTATAAAACTGATTTTAAAAAATTTATTTAGGAAAATTAGTAAACTACAGAATATCAAATTAAGCAGATATAATGATCATAAATTGAAAAAAACAATGGAAGACTATTTTTAATTTTACCTTATCAAGTCTATAATAATAATAATAATAAAAATAATAATAATAATAATAATAATAATAACAATAATAATAATAATAATGATAATAGTAATATAACAGTAATATAACTTTTGTACAGCACCCTACATTTGAGTTTTATGGCCATATCACCACTAAGCCCGCTTCATCGTTTATACTGGCAATTAACGAGTCTAATTAAATCATATTCCCTTAATTACATTTTATACAAATATCCTGAAACTGTACAAATAAACAATCAATATATATATAAAAAATGTTAGGATGGCAAAAGTATTTGATAGAAATAGAAGTTTATTTTAGTATCAAAGAGATTACTGTATTATATATTGTGTATATGCTCAACATATATAATGATATGTTTCCTAAAATCAACTTAATCAATCAATCAATCAATCAATCAATCAACCGTTCCATTTATATTGTGTCATTCCAGCAGTCATTGATGATGGTGCCATTCTAAAGACAACTCCATTCCGTATTATATATTTTCACACTGCACCCACTTATAATCAATCATTCAGTTTAGAGCCCATTCATACTACAAATTAGAGATGGCTTCACACTGATTGCTACAGGTAGCATATACCTCACAGTGTGTACACCCGCCACACAAGTACGTACATTCCCTTATGCCTGCATGCATGGAGGTATTATAGTTCTTGTCTATAATATCTCTATGCTGTATGCCAGAAGTCTGTGTAGCAAGTGTCTATGTCATACATTTCATGCCCAGTATGTGTACACCACATATGTGGTCTCATGATTTGTATGCTACTAATATACATTCGGGGTCTATATGCCACAAGCGTGTTTTCACTGTCTCAATTTCAAACAAACGGGACAGGATGAAGACTTACGGGCCACATTTTCTTAGTTTTTACAATAATTTATTGGTGATCTGACAAACATGAGTGGTCTAAAAACAATGTAACCACGGATTGTGATTGAAAAAAAAAAATTTGTTCTGGACTTCAGACCTATTTATTTACGGGTACATAGCCTATGATAAATTCCCATAGTATTTTTGTCGATTTCCAAACGTCCCTTAAGAAAAATTTCCGTAGCAACTACGGAAGTTTTCTAGCACTTCAGAACTCTGTATATCCATCATATTACCCTTAGTTTTCACCACAAATTCCAACTCTTATTTATCGAAGAGAAACTAAACTAAACACTGCAAGCAATAAAGGGACCTGACCACTTTTGACTATGAATGAACACAATATATATAAGAAATATACAAAAGCAAAACAGCAAAATTGAAGAAAATGATCAAAATTATATGTTTAGGATATATGAAAAAAAAATGTAATTATTGATTTTTAAGTGGCAGCAATTGTTTGAGTTATTGTATGCTAATTAGATTCTAGTGCTTAACTTAGTCAAGTCAGTATACTTGGTTTTAAATCTATGTGATCAAAATCTATATAAAAAGTAAAATAGGAAGCCAATGTATATGTTAAGATGTGGTATATATTTTAAGATAATGGAAGTTCCTCAGTGGAAAGAATTGAGGGGTGATGGAGACAAAACTTAGTTATGGAATGGTATTATACTAATGCCTATATACACTAAGTGCTTCACATTGTTAGCCCCGGTTATATCAAGCTTTAATCAATGCATTTTGAGCTTGAACTTACCAGGTCTCCACTCCTGAGTGGAGAGAGACAAGTCACAACCATAGGTGAAGTGCCTTGCCCAATGACACAAGCGAAATATTCCTTATAATGTCCAAAATATCTACATATGTACAACCTGCTAAGCAAATGACAGAACTTTGTAGTGCTGTCATACATAATGGACATACTGCAAAGACATTTTTTTAAAAAGAATTTCACATTTGCAAAAATGATTAGAAATGTCTATAATCATATCAAATTCTGTACATAATATTCATCTGTTGGTGTAACAGATTTGACTATAAAAACTGCAATTAACAAAAATACTGATCCATAAGTATTACTGATTTAAGGATGTAATATAGATTAGCATTATTAAAAATATGCAGATTTGCTAATTCTTATGAACATTTTTTTAAACATGTCACTTGTTTAAAATTTTGATTGATACATTTCATACTGTTTATCATGGAGACCGCCCTCACATTGCAAGTAAACCGTAACCTGATTCTATCGTCTTCATATAAGGTAACAGTTAACATTTTGCTAATTCTTCAAGTGATTAAAAAAAAAAAAAACTTCTTGGTGCTGCTGATATCCATGTTCATATACTAGTAACAACTAGTTTGAACTGGAACAATCTGGTTTTCTTCTCTGACTCAAGCAGCATCATAAATGCAAGTACACTGGATTGTTCTAGTTTGGTTCTGTTTTGCTCAGGTTAAACAGGATCATTCTGGGTCCCTGGCTGTTAATGCAACATTTCGGGGGGAAAAATATTAATTCTTTATGGAAAATGATTCAATAATGAATTTAATGTGCTGAATTCCAAATGTAAGTTATACACATAGACAACATAGGGTATTTGTGTTTCTAATTTATTATGCTTGCCCCCGACACAACTCAGCAAGCACCCTTCCTGCAGCAAATGTTCATGTAGTGTGGTAATGTAAACAATTTAGTAATAAGGTGGCCTTGTGTCAATTAAATGCTATACAGATATAATTTGTTACTGAAAAAAACCCCCATTATTTTGCATGAATTCAGGTAAAATGTACTCTTGAGTTTTTATTGCTCACTAAAGTGTCAAGAATCATTAAAAATAAGAAACCCGAAAATAAATTACTATGCTTAATACCAAATAAATTTATTTATAATTCTTACCCATTAAGCCATCTTAATAATTAATTAGTATTAGTATATTATTGATATTATAAATTAGGTAAAACATAATTGTTTATCAAAAATTTTATAATGGTAAAATACAGTTTTTAAAATATAATTGGATTTCAGGCAAGAAAAACTTTGTTCTCTAAAATACATCAGCACAATACAAATAAATTTGTCAACAGGTTATTTTAGCAATAGCCACAGAATAGCATTCAACAATTTGATATTTATTTCACCTTTGAAGTAAAGATTGAAATATTAAAAAATGTATTAAAAACTTATAAATAATAAAAAAACAATAGTTTGTGAATATTCTCTTGTCAAATATGTCATTGGTGTACTGTTGTTGTCTATATGTATATGTAATCTATGTATATGTATATATTGATTACAAAATCCTGAAATAAAAGTTTAATTTAATTAATCTACACTTTTCCAATGTCAACAAAATACATAGAGTTTGCATGCTTATGGGAAGTCACTCTTAATATGTTGGACATTTTGTAAATACAAGCAATATTTCAATATTTTGCAAACATTAACACATATTTTCATGCTTAAACAATTACCAATTTTGCATATTGCAAGAAGAAAATGATAAGTTGTACATTGGTAAACTTTCCACAGGATATCTGCATTCATCAACATTTTGAAGAAAAAAAATCATTCTGAATAAAAATTATATAAAATGTCAAGAACAC